TTGAAAACGCTGGGGGTTGGATCCGGCAAAGCATCGTAAATTTAACTAAATCGCGAAAAATTTATTTAGTGCCTACGGCACAATCATGGAGAGATGAATCTATTAAAATTAAAGATGACGCTATATGGATACATGCTGATTCTAGCTATTTTGGTGGGTTTCATTCTGCTGGGTATAGTCTCGTCGACATTATTAGGGACATTCTCAACCCTTCAAGTCTGGACATTTCGGCTATTTTAGAAGAAAAGAAACGAAATAATGTATGTAGGGAGTGTGGTGAACCATTTTCATCGCACCTTCAATGGTGTAAATGTTGCAATTCGCAACATTTCAAAACCGATTTTGGAAATTGGACGAGTAATAATAGCGTCATCGACACTTTTCTTCAATATACTCAAATTACTGCGCTAGACGCAGCTAATGCCTTGGAATGGATCAACTATAACCGTTTTATAAATGTAACACCTATTGGTCAAGGTGGTTACGGAACAATACACATGGCTTATTTCTTGGTAATTTTTTTATAATTATAATTGTCGCGGGTGATGTTGAATTTTCATCTGACTAGCAACAGGAGGAAACGTTGATACGTCACAAAATCGGTACACAATTGATAAAAATTTTTTTTATATTATTTTACAATACTTTTTTGGAAGGCTCGTTTGACTTATCTTTTCTATGAATATTGAAAATAATTAAACAAACATGAAGCTCTCACTTTGCTTTACAACATATTTTTTGAATCCCCTTGAATCCCATGGTTTCGTCTTTTTGTAAATTTCGCAATTTGATTGGTTGACTAATCCCGTAGTTGGTCAATACAATGAGTGATCTGTGTAACGGAGAATGAAAATCATATCTATATTTGGACGTTTCCTCCTGTTCTGACTAGCCAGTAAGATTTATTGAGTAACAGTAATGCATCTGATTAGCAAATAGGATTTTTAGGTTACAATTTACGGTGTTTTTGATGAATGTCATTTATAGAGTCTATCTCAGTAATTCAAGCATAATTCTCAATTTTACCAAGAACATCTCCAAAAATTAGTCAATCAGATTTTGAGATCAGGTGTACAGTGAAAATCAAAACAATCGAATAAACAAAAATTAAAGTAATAAAACCTTTTGTTAGGATGCAAAAGGCGGTTTCCTATGTAGATTTTCTACTTATAAGCGATTTTTGATAAAACGAACGTATTTCCTGATCGTGCTACGTTACACCTGATCTGCATCTGATTGGCTGAGCAGAATTTTTGGATGTGTTCTTGGTGTAGTTTAATTCTCACGTCTCCTAATACGTAATTGTCATTAACACGGATTTCACCTGTCGTAAAATAATTGTTTTAATTTTACATAACATCTAATTTTGCAATTTGATTTGTACATCTCATAGGATGGGGATATAAGGAGATGGGATCATAAAAATGATCAATGGGAAAGGTACCCGGGATTTTCTGTCGCTTTAAAAACGCTCCACAGCTCCCAAAACCTTTCTGTGGAGTTCTTGAATGAAGTATGTGTCATATTTTACTGGTACAATTCACTAATTCAGAATGCAAATAAATATTAAATGTTTTACTTGGTTGTCTACTAAATCCAGTTAAAGATGATGCATAAATGCACGGTTTTTATTTTTTATTTTTATTATTATTTTTTTTTATTTATTTATTTTATTTTTATTTAATTTCTTTTTTTTTTAACTTTAGGCTGGGGAGTTAACAAACATCGTTGCTATATATGGGATAACTCAAAACCCATATACAAAAGAATTCGTGATGGTAATAGCAGGGTTGAGCACTTAATAGTCTAATGAAAAACAATTCATTAGACAAATATATTTTTTTTATATGTTTAATTGGCGTCTAATATCTATCTATTTACATACAACAGGTAATGGAGTATATGAATAAGGGTAATATGCGAGATTACCTTCGCAATAACCCAAATTTAAATCGATTGAAAATCGTACTTGAAATTTCCGCCGGGCTCATGAACATTCACACCCACGGGTTAGTACATGGCGATCTCCATAGCGGAAATATATTGTTTGAAGACACATCGGGTGGTACGGCGTTTATTGGTGATCTCGGGCTGTGTCATCTATTCAGCGAGACTTCAGTTGTAGCGAATGAGATCTATGGTGTCATGCCATATATAGCACCTGAAGTTTTACTTACAAAATCATATACTAAAGCTTCTGATATATACAGCTTTGGTATGTTGATGTGGGAAGTAGCAACTGGCAAACCGCCATTTTACAATCGAGCACATGACGCGGTGCTCTTAATTGATGTCTTGAAAGGTAAAAGACCACCGCTTCCAACCAATGTGCCGAAGTGCTATACTAATTTGATAAAGAAATGTTGGGATCCCGATCCCAACAATCGGCCTTGTGCCGAAGAGATACAAAATACTGTTAAAAATTGGTACTACGAGAAATCGCAGCTTAAATTTTCGGACTTTTCGGACTTTTTGTACACAGATAAAGAATTCAAAAATATCCGAGAACATAACTTTACGACCCATCCTAATGCAGTTTATACAAGCCGATCTCTTGGTAAATATATCGACAATTTGCTTTCTTCGAAACAAATGGAATTATCCATTTGCGAGAAATTAAGGTTGATGATAACCAATGTTAACTCACCTAATGACATTTATATAAATTAGAATTCAATGAATATTATGAGAAATTAATATAGCTATCAACTGGAAATTGCGCTTACTGCCCAGTTGGTATAGTTATTGTAGAACTAGTGCATATTCATGTGAGAT